AAAAAAAAAAAAAAAAAAGGGTCAGTGAGTCAGTGGCTATATAGTATAGTATTGTATACAAAAAATATTGCAAACAATAAATATTTCTTTCCCCCCTTATGCAATGTTATTATGAAGGGGAAACTACGCGAGAGTCGAGAAAATGAGTTATAATTGCAGTATGGAGCAAGATACATTTTGGAATTGTAGTTCGGGCAATGTATACAACTGAGGTTTCTGGTCAGGTAGGATGCCCAGACTGCAATTGCAAACTGTATCTTGCCCATACTGCAATTATAACTCGTTTTTGTGACGTTACCCCTATTATAAAAATCCATATTGTCCAGTTGATGTAGCTAAGAGGTTAGAGCACCAGTTCGAACTGCGCATTGTGGTACATGAGGTTGCGGGTTCAAAACTCAATTGCAGCCTTGCGCATGGACACCGACAGGGCATTAGAGTGACGTACGGCTGGACACCCCCCCCCTTGGGATGGCGCAGGTAAGCTATTACAGACAATGTCTGCGCACCACCCAAGGGGTAGCTCATGGTTGTGTAGCTCATGGTTGTTGTACGTTGGAACTGGGCGATGATGGGGTACCGGGTGGTCACAAGACTGCTCGGTGGTTTGTACAATCTGGTTTACTCGAGCCCAGCGGAGCACAACTACATACTATTTCACAATATAGGTCAAAAGGTTAGGCCATTTGCACGATTCATACGAGGTCCTGTGTACGATACTAGATTATGACTTGGGGCTGATCATCCTCCTAGTACGTAGTCAAGGGTTGAGACTGGCGTAGTGTGACGCCCAACCTCACGTCCAGCGCGACTTCCTGATCCCCGTGAAGGTGGGCCTAGAAGTGCGAAAAAGAGGTGTGCCAAGGATTTTAGGAAAACGGTGGTGGAGTCCCAGGTCGCAACTGAGATCTCCTGTGTCAAGTTTCAGGGATATGAATGCAAGTGGGTAGGCGAAGGACGAGGGCTTTGTTTTAGGCCTCGCGGAACGAGGCGGTCACCTCCGTGGGTCCCTCGACCGGGGAAGGATTCATATCCTGTGTACCGTCGGGACGCTATGGTTGTCACGTTGATACAACACCTGTCGTCGGCGGGTTTCGCAGATCTTGGAGTCGGACGTGGCTGGCCTCAGCCGAAGGCTGTGTTCCCGTTGCTCGGCTTCCGAACGGGTTCGCAAGATGAACCCCGATGCTCGGTAGGTGTGGCCTTGCAGACACTCGGAACACTGGGGTTGTGGCCAGTAGGGGGCGAGTGCTCGCCAAGGGGCAATGGTCAGGCAGTGGAAAGGCAATAGACGGTGATAGGGAGGGAACTCTGTTTCCAAGATAACAATGTCGGGTTCAACGATGATCTGACACGTGTACGGGCTGGGGTAGCCGAGAAAATGAGGAATGCGTTCTAAGGCCCGCCCAATATCCCACTCGCAGATGCGCTCGATTCTTGTTGGGTACGGAAACTCTGGGAACTCAGTCTCGAGCGTACAGAAAGACATGTGCGTCCCCCATGTTCTCGGAACTAGCAATCCCTCAAACACTCGCGGTCAGTGATCCTGAAGGGAATCTCGACATTTATGTTGCAGGGTGGAGTGGGAATCCATACATTTGGGGTGCTCGGCCAACAACCGGATCGGGGGAAGATCCTGTAGACACGCGTGTACGCGATGACCTCCTTCGGCCGGGTGTACACGTGCCTGCACAAGATCTTCCTTCGATTAGGCTGGGAATTTTTACAACTTTCGGTACATCGGCCCGTCGGCCCAGAGGTGTCGCTGGTGGGCTCAGTCACCTCAGTGTGAAACAAACATCTAATCAACCGCCATGCTCTTCCATATTACAGAAAGGAAAGACAAGGAAACAACAAGCACTAACGCATCAAAACATACAGTTACTCACTGGCCAGAGATCATACATGGATCGAGTGTACGCAATCAATCAATCAAGTTAGCAACCAAGTAAGAGGAGGAAGGGGCGGGGAAGGGAATCACTCATCAATTCACAGAAAATAAAAACCTGAGATGACCGATCCAAACGATGGCTTGCGCCAGGCATCAAAATTTCACAGAAGAGTCGAAGAAAAAACACCATTCCAACACCTCCCGTTTCCGTTTCTCTCTCTCTCTCTCTCTCTCTCTCTCTCTCTCTCTCTCTCTCTCTCTCTCTCTCTCTCTGTGAGTGGCGTAGCGGTC